AAGCGTGTGGAGGAATCTATTTGCTCCCTGTACATGTATCTGTGCGCTCCCACCCCAGCAACACCGAGCAGAGTCTCAGCAGTGGTCCTCCCTTATCATAGCACATTTAACAGGGGGCTAATCCAATCAGGTGGGATAACAGGGTTGCTCTCTCTGAGTCGAGGAGGATCAGGCGAGTGCTCCTCTGCTTCCCATTAGTGTGTGTCCCTCCAGCCGGGCCTATCCTAATCCCATTTCCCCATCTAAAGCCTTAACCCAAACAAGCACACAGGACAATAATCTCCGGTCACACTCCTGTCGGCTGCCCCGGGCCTCCTGATGCTGCTAATGGATGGCGAGCCTGGGAGATGCCAAGAAACTGCAAGGGGGGACTAGATGTGGTTTCTTCAGCCAAGGAACCACAACAACCACAGCCTTTTCTTTGTCTATCGCTGCTCCATAGTTTTGCTCCTTTCTTCTTTAGAAGTATTGGTTGTCTATTGCTGATCTGCGTTTCCTCTGAACTACCAAACACATTCAACCAAAGGGAAAACCTGCTCTTTGCAATGATCATTTTTCAATAGACTGTGTGAGTAGCATTGTTTTATAAAGGGCATTTGATCAAATATAATTTGATCGTATTCACATACGAAGCTAAAAAACTACATTAGGAAGTTTTGTGGCATGGTCAGGAAAGTCATTTAAGTTTTTTTCAGACAGAGAGAGAGAGAGAGAGAGAGAGAGAGAGAGAGAGAGAGAGAGAGGTTTTGGCTCTGTATCCCCGTCTCTCTGTCCCTGTTGACGGCACATGTGCCCCAGATGCAGGGTCCTGATCCAAACCCATGCTCATCCAGACGCCACCCCGAGTGTCTCAGATCACATACACGCTCTCCAAGGACCTTGGAAAAAACAGCCTCATCCACATTTCTCATTTCTTTTGGTTTCCATAAGAAAAATGTAACCCCAGCTTTCTAATGAATTCCAACTGAAATATGGTTGGTGCAACAGCATCCACCTCAAACAAGGCTCAGTTTATGTTCCATATGGAAGATATTAGTTTCCCCTTATGCCATTGTACAAATTTCATCATTGCATTCTATTTTTCAAGAATAAGATGGAAAAACTCCTCAGAAATAGAAAATGAATAAGGTGTCATCTTTATTTTTTTTATATTCGCTGCCCACTTTAAAAAAACCTCAAAGAAAGACTGATTGCCTTCATCATTGATCTTTAGCTGTTTTCTTTATCCACCCCCACTTCAGTATCTTCAGCCAGTTGACTGGATAAGTGAATGGTGAAGGTGCTCTCTGTGTTGTGCTCTTTGTCTGTGTGTACACAGCTGGCAGCTGTGCTAAATCACAGCTATTAGACTAAATCAATTATGAGGCAGATTTTTCTCCCTGTTGACAGAACCTCTACCTGAATCCAAGGGATGTTCAAAATATTGAAGGGGAAATTATGTTTCTTTAACAAGTTGAACTTTATTGAAACTAAGTAGACTGTCTGATTTTTTGTGTGCTCAGGCAGAATGTTGTTCATACAACATAAGGGTAAGCAGGCAAGTAAGAACACAAACACTCAAGCACACACTTACATTTTCAGATAAACTCAAATAAACTAGCAGTGAAAAGATAAAGATCCACTTCACTCATGAAAATAAATAATTGTATTAGTGAAGACCAGTAGTCTTGTATCTGATCAAAGATGGTCTTTGCCATTGGTCATAAAGCTATTTTTTTCTTTTATTCACTTGCTATTGTGAAAGCTTACAACTGCCTTGTGCGAGCTAATGTACTGGGAAGATTCTTGTACCACTAGCAACCATTGATTCTGTTGTAATGTCAAAACTGTTGCTCGCTGAGCTTTAATCAAAAATAGGAATGTTGTTCTTGCACAAATAGAGATTCGTTTTAAAACGCACTAATTCATTCACTAACAACTGCCTCAATTATCAAACAGATCGAACTCTGTCTATCCACATGCAAACCAGTTTAAAGAGTGTGTACAGCTTACACCTTGCTCCATCAATCAAGTAGTTAAGCTTATAGATGGTTTGGGGCAATTGAATCTGACAGGTGGTTTTGTACAAAGCTGTGTAGCAACGCTGCATTGAAACTTGGCTTTGACTGACCAGTAAAGCTCTAGAGGCCTGGAACATGCTTGCACTCATGAACACCCTGAACTACAGACAGAAGGCTGGTAAAGAGAGAGACACAGATGGTAAAAACTTTATGGTTTTTATGATGGTCCACTGGTACGCTGATGTGAGACTAGTATGACACTGGGTTATAAATAGATTTGAGCTAAATGCTAACATCATGATGTGAAGTATTGCAGTGACAGTACTTATCTCACCCCTTGTACAAAGAAATATGAAACATTTTTTAAACTAAAAGCTCATTCCATCACATGGCAAGTTTACTTCAGTGTAAAGCAATTTCTGGTAGTTTGCAATAATTGACTGTGGGAAATTAAGTGCCAGAAGTTTTTATTTTTATTTCAGATTTCTAATTTTTGCATATGATTAATTGTGTCAAAACAAACTGCCAATCTGCAGTTCCTCTTCCCCAGGGCAATAGAACACATATAACATTGACTAAATGTGCAGAATTGGCTTTGAATTGACGTTTTATGTTTGAGTTACATTCCATGTGTGATTATCTCACAGATTGTTGGTATGAACTATAGTTTACTTACAAATAGAGTGAAGAAATGTTCTTAAACAGAACCTTTTCTCTTCTAAGCTTGTTACAACAAGTGATAAGCCTGTGGGTTAACTAGTGGGCTGTCTTTGTCATACATACTCTCAATTGATTGTATGTAAATTAACTTATAAACACTCATCAGTTTCTGGCAAAAAAAAACCTTTGTTGTTACATATTTGCCTCAGGTAACCATCATTATTATCCAGGCAGCTTGGCATAGCTGGTAGTTTGGCTTGGCTTGTGACCTCATGGAAAACATCACTCATAGCTGTGGGTGAGTTATCATTGACTTTCCAATGATGCTAATAGTATCATAGTATCATATCCAGTTATTCTGAAGCCAGTGTACTAAAGCATCTGTTATAATGCTGACAATTTGTCCTGGCTGAACATCAGACGGACAGGAAACCGTGCGATTGTTGTCACATATCACTCCAAAAGAAATACCCATAAAACACAGTGGCAATCCTACAGTATTAGTGGTGCTCTTCATTCTTGGATGAGACACATATTCACAATATCTCTTCTTTCTTCTTCTTATAAAGATAATCAGTTGTTTATTTTCTTTCCTGCTGCATTGTTGAATTTTCTCCCTAAATAAATGTAACCTGAGGAACTCAAGTATTGTTTTTGTCAAAATGTTTTTATTTATTCTATTTTTAAGATGTTCCGATTCCGATGCCTGGACTTTGTGTATTGTGCCATACTGAGTACCAATCTGATAACAACTTGAATAACATATATTAACAGCTGTATGGTCCTAACCCTGTAGGAAAGTGGTGATTGCTATCATTGGTGTAGGACCTGGTGTAGGCCAATAAAGACCCCATTCAATTTTCAGATCCTAATAACTTTCTTTAACATGGCTAGGTAGGGCCTAATTAAAAAGAATATCTATGCTACCGAAAAACTAGTGAACATTTTGGATTAACTACCAGCACTTTTTATCCTGAGCTTTATAAATGCTTATCTTCAGCAAATGTGATTCCATATATCAAACATCTATTCAGAATAATCTGTATATGAACAAATGTTTGGCATTTCATGGTTGGGAAGTCTCATCATCCCCAACTGTTGAGGAACTCGTTTTTGCCACAAGACCGGTGTGGGGCCTGTGGATCAATTTCCTGATGCTCCCCTTTAAAAATATACACAGAGGTCTCTAAGGAGGCAGCACTGTATGCATGAGGGCAGAGAGAGAAAACGATGGGGGGTCGGATGGTGGATGAGAGTTTGGCCCTAGAAGTCTCCACCTGGTGGGGTTGTTGAGGGCCATCAAGTAGCCCCCACAGTACACAAAGCCCGCCTTGTGTGAGATAAGCGGCGGGCACTGGGAGGGCCCTACGGCACTATTTTCACAATCAGAGCCAGTTTGTTTTCTTAAGGCCTCAGAGCCGGAGCCTGTCAGGAGAACAGCATGCTGGCAGGGCTGGAGGTTGTGTTGGGTAGCACTGTTGTGGGAGAAAGGGGGTCTCCTCCAGGGTGGGCCAGGGGTTTCAGGGCTCCTCAACATTTGTCTCTTATTTGACTATATTTGTTTACTTAACTGATCCCTTAAGATACAGATTTCCAAGTACATTTATTTTTTATTTTTTTTGGGTTAAACATTTACCTGATGTACTTTGTGTGTTAATGCTGTTATTGCTGTTATTATAACAAAATAATAAGGGGAAATATGTATATTCAAGGTATCTGTGTAATAACTATAGGCAAGAAATACTCATCTATATAGCAATAACTTCAGTGCTACTGCTGCATTAACTTTAAGGAGGTTTTTTGGGTCAATAGTGTATTTTTGAGCACGTAGGTTAATGCTTTGCTAGATTCTGTTCACATATTCATCTATCCTCCTCCAAACTCCACTTCTAATATTTCTGCATCCCTTTTTTTTCTTTCGGCAATAAAATTGTGGTGTATTATTATGACTGTTTATAGTGAAAAACCACAGTGTAAAAGACTCAGAGTTATAAGAATGTTTTCTTGGTAAAGACTATCCAGAAAATGATACTAAAATTTAATTAGAAACAGTTGCCTCACTGTTGTGAAGATGAGATGCCGAGAGCAAATATCGTTAGTCGACTAGTTGTATCCAGATTTAGGAGGAAAAGACCTTTTTCACAGTAAATGTGGCTACAGTTAAGAAGCCGCATCATGAAGCCATTCCTGTAAATATTTTGAGTGCTTATCTGATGTTAGGTTAATTTCTCATTAGGTTGTAGTCGTGTATAATGAGTGCTCCAAGCCTTGTGTTGGGATTATTTAAAGGTAGCTTCTCTGCAGGCAGGTTTCATGATTTTCTCCCCTCGTTCCACAGTGTGTCTTGGCTCATCGGAGGCGGCTGGTCGCCAGGACTCCTCTCAGCCTGCTCCCCGAAGACCCCTGGCTCCACAGAAACAGGAAATGGTAATAGTAATGCACTGCTTTCCCTCCCCCTATCTGTATCCCCAATTCTCTCCCTCTCTCTGTCTGAATGAACAAAAAAGGAGAAAAAACAGACATATAATAACATGTATGTGTGGAAAAATGGACCCAGACCATAAAATACTCCAAAGGTTCACATTGTGTTTATACACTTACTTCAATCCATGTATGAAAAAACATTTGGTACATGCTATATAATAATCCATCAGTTTCAGAATGTATAGTTTAAGAAAAGCTTATATTTACCCAGTAGTTTTCATCACCAAAATTGGAATGATATGATTGTATTGTTTTTTGCCTTTAGACATGAGGGATTTCTATCAGGATTATACTAGACAAATAAAAGTTACTATTTGAAACACTCCAAGTCTTCTGCCGGCTAAACAGAGGGTCAGTGGTGTCTGTTTTGACTACAGGCCATGTAGTCTCTCCACAGGTGGATGACCCCCCCACCCCCCCACCCACCCAACACTCCCCACCCCTCAGCCACCAAGTGTTTATGAGTCACTTCACCCCTGGCCAAGCATGTGGTGAAGCCACCCAGCTCAAGTCATATCAATGGGAACTGCTAACTAGCCCCCACGGACACTGCCAGGTTTTTATAGTAAATCGTGGAGCAAAACCACAATCGACTAAAAAGAGATAGGCTCGCTCTGACTTCATAGCATTTTGTGGTCGACATTTCCCTTTGAGTTCTTTTTCCTTCAGAGTTCTTTCCCTTCTCTTTCCCCCCTTTCATCTTAATTTAAAATGCAGCTGGATCCACCATTCCTCCTAATAGTTTTCTTTGTTTCAGCCCTTTAAAAACTGTGGTCTATCATTTCTGCCGTCCGTCGGAAGATTTATTTTTCACGCGAGCCTTAATGTGTTCAAGAAGTTCCAAAGTTAGCTGCTGTAATGGTGCAGTCACAGAATTTTTTTGTCCTACAGCAACATTCTGTAGGTGGTTGTCCACACCTATGTAACTAAATATGATCACCGTGCCCCATTTTTCTTTTCGAGGGGTTGCAGTGAAGGCACAAGATGACCCCTGTGGAGCACAGATGTGGAAAACTCAAGCCAAAAGCACCAGTGCTCTATGCCAAAATACAACCATAAAAATCTGCCTGCAATAAGTAACCATGAAACCAAAATGCCTCTTTTCCTATAACAGAACTGTGGGATCTGTCCATCAACCGTGAACCTGAGTTACACAGGGGAACTGGAGGGGAGTGCTGAGGCCTGATTGGGTGGAAAACCATCTGGGAGGGTGAGTTTATACTGGACAAAGAAATCTGCACACCAAAGTCATAAAACATAGTTTATACTAACACATGCAGTACATACTTACAGGAACCTTTGGTTTTGTGAGGTGTGCAGGTGCTATCTGTAAAAACAGATACAGTGCATAACATTCCTGTAGCCATTCCTCAGTCCGCTCTTACTCTGATATCCAATTTTTGGCATTCCAAACCACGTAAGAGGAGGGCAAGGTGTTGCTGCCAAGGGTTTCTTAGCCCAATGCCCAACTCCAGCTCTCAGCCTGGGCAGAGGAGGGCAAAGTACTGGGCGTCTGTTCTCGTTCCATGGATTAGATCCACTGTGCTGCACTTTACCCCCGCGGCTTCTTTCAAAATGCCTGTTAGCTGCTTGGCAGAACTGCCAGAGTTTTCATTTTCGCCTTATGTCTTTTCAACGCAGTGATGGATCAGAGCAAATTCCTGCTTGCAATTGTGTGCATATGTTGATATTCCCAGTTATGCAATGTATCATTGTCTCTTTCATATGACTGTTTATACTGTGTTTAATTGTTTTGATGTCACGATGGAAAGAAAAGGTACAATATGGGAAGTGATATTGAATATAGCTACTAGTACAGATTGACTGTAAAGTTTTTTACCACACAGTGGATTCCTAAGATGATGGCCTTTCAGAAATAATTTACAAAACCAACATAGAAATTCCTTACAAGAGCAATATTGAACAATAGTTTCAAAAGGATCATGATATATCAGGAAAAATAGAACTTGATGAACACATACATTTCTTATGATATATATATATATAGCCAACATAAAATATTTGTTTCTAATTTATTAATTATTTGGTTATGAATTAATTATTTTTTTCACCAAACACCCAGATCAGCAGGTTGTCACTCAAGGAAGTTTGACTGAAACATTTTGTCTTTGTGTAATAATATGCTAATTCTCTCAGAGCTTCGAAGTTGGCATAGTGAGGCCTTCATTGAGAACACACACACACACACACACACACACACACACACACACACGGTGTTGCTGTGCAGCAGTTTACTCATGTAATGTGACCTGGAGGGGCGCCAAGGAGCCCAGTGAAGGTCCGTGGCCTGAGGCCTGCCGACACCTCTCCCCAGCCCTGTTGAAATGTTTATTTATAACTCTCTTCCAGCTCCACCTCCCCCTGTCGTCTGCCAGCCGCCATGCCAATCCAAACACACAAGGCCTCTCCAGACTGATCCAGAGCATGATTTCAGAAAGAAGAGAACCCTTTCCCCTCTTTTTCCCCCTTCTTGTGCCCAAAACTCTCCCACCCTCTCCTCCCTCCCTCTCCCTCGGTCTCACCGTGTCTTCCAAAGAGTAACGCTTAGGGAGAGGAGAACTGAGTAAAGACAGAAGGGAGAGGGAAGGAAAGGGAGGGAAAGGATGGATGGATAGAAGAAAAGAGGGAGGGGGCCGAGGTTTACTCTATCCAGCATGGGCTGCTAAATTGGTTTCAGAGCAGCAGTTGGACTCCAGGGATGCACGGCACACACTACCGACTAGCTGTGTTTGCTTTTGTGGGGTGTAGGAAATCTGATCTCCGTCCATGTAGCCAACCCACATCCCACCCATCAGTACCACCAAGAATGAAGGGAGCTATGAGGAGAGTTGCTAAAACAGGTATCATTGATACTTTAGGAATAAAAATAACAAACATTAACTTCGAGTGTGGAAAAGTGCATATTTCACGAAAATGTTGAATGGTTACATCATACCGCATGAGCCGTCTTTGTTACAGGCAGGAAGTCACATGTCTGTGGAAGGTAGGATGACATGTTGAGTCCCCGCTGAGCCCAAGGCTGAAGGCTCTCTAAATAGGTTTAATTGGGCCAGGCCTTACACTACCATGCAGACATTGCCAGACAGACACAGGGCTACAGGGAAAAGCAGAACACCCAAGAGACCTCAGGCACCACGTCCTCGTATCTGACTTGGTGCTGCTGTGTGGCTCATTTGTTGTACTCACAGTTTAAGGACACACTGCTTACACATTGCTATGTCCAAGGGAGCTGTGCCAAATTACCAATACCAGTTGTTTATCTAAAAAACATGCTCATACAGCAGAGCTATGATTGGTTTGTTGCCCAAGGCATAACTCCAGCTCTCAAAAGTGGGAATTGTTTACCTCCTTGTGCCTGCGTGTGTTTGTGGGCTTGTTTATACGTCTCTGTTTATGCGTAAGCGCATTTGTCTGCATGCCTTAGTATAGGCGTCTTTGTAACAGCCTTCTCCAGCTCTGCCACCAAGGTCTGTTTCATCCCCTGCAGCGAATGGTAAAATGTAGATCAGCCATAGCAAAACTGAAATGTATACCATATTATTTCCACTCGATAAATGAAGCTAGTGTCTGATTAATAATATATGATGCGTCAAATATTCAATCAGTAAGAAGGAAAAAAGAAGGAACATGAAGACAAGCATATATATATATTTATAGACAGCAGTACAATTAATGCAGCCATCCTTAGACAGAGAAGAGACTCATTGTGGTGATGTAGTGTTAAGGCCACAATACTACCTTAATGCACAAGCCACTTTCATTTTAATTTGTGCGTGTGTGTGCGCGCACGCGCGCGTGTGTCTTCAGTTTTCTTGCTTTCACACATTTGTACACACCCACACCCACTTGCAAAAAAAAAATAGACCCGTGTTCAGGGCAGATGCTCATTTCTCTCTCAGACAGTTTGCTTGCCTTGCATCTGAATGGACTTGTCTTAAGTCGCATGTGTATATGATGACAAATCCAACATTTAATTTACTCTGCCTTTTTGCACCATGCACCAACTTCTGTGATTTAATAAATGATCATGCTTTAAAAGCAGCCAAGTGTTGACTAAACCGCTGCACACGCTGAAAACACCTCCCGATATACAGCAAATGGTTGCGTGAGAGTTTGTGTGTTTGCAAGCGTCTAAAGTGTGAGTGTGATTGTGCGTATATTCGGTGAGTGTCTGATTGTGTGTTCATACTCTTGTTTGTGTGTTTGTCATGAGTAGGTCCTGGGGGAATGCGGTCTCCACAGTAACCGTCTCTCTTGGTGGTCCGTCATTAATAGTCTGTCTGGTGTTGATGATTTAGCCCCGGTTAAAAAAAAGGGTGCAGTCAAATATATCAAGTGAAATCCCATAAAATAATTTAACAACTCAGCATAATAAACACCTCGACAAGTAAATAAATAATCAGTAAATCACAGGGTCAGTTTAAGCCCCCTTTTTTTAGGCGGTTTAGTGTGCATGTGTGCGGACGTTCACGTATTTGCTGTTTGTTTTTCCTCTTTGTCTCATCTCTCCCCCAGCTCTCTTGAGTGAGGAGAAATTGAGAAACCAATCTAAAATCCATCAGGACTTCCCTGCTCACAATCCCTTCTCCCCCAACCCCACCCCACCGAACCCCACCTACCCCAGCACCCAATGCACGCCCACCCATCCCCTACCCCACTCCTGTTTTTTGTGTTGCAAGCGTCTGGAAATTGGAATAGATGTTCGTTTAGCGGGCAGCTGGTCTGGGGCCGATATGAATTGCGTTTCCCCACGCCAGGAAAGGTCAAGCCCCCTCGCCTTCACGGAGTGCATCGGCCTATTGAGTGGCGCTTTAGTGCATTTACCAACAGCCAATGGCAAGGCGGCAGACAGGAGAGAGGGAAGCACAGCACTCTGTGTGGAAGGGAGAAAAGAATGGCAGCACGTCAGATATAAATTCATTGTTTCTCATCACCCAGCTGGGGCAGGGATGGGTGGGAGTGATTGCTGGGATGGGGGAAGTGAGGTAGGAATATTACTGTCTGAGTAGGCTGTGCCACTGCCGGCTCCTCATTCAGCCTCGCTGCCTAGAATTTTGAAATGTTTAGAGCTCGCATTATCTTTGAAACACCCAAATGAAAATCAAATGACACAGCCTCCATAAGAATTTGTTCAATAGAGTGAGCGCTCAAAAGAGAATAAAAGAGGCTGGTTCCTCTCTTGTCAAACCTCCAGAAGTAAATCTTTATATTTAAAGAGAAGAGGAATATATGCCACAGCACAGTTGATGCCTTTGTTAGAAGAAAGATTCTTTTCTGAAAGCTAAAAATAGAGGCAGTTAATAGGTTGGTGATGTGCTGAACACAGACACCTCAACAGTACATATACAAGTACGCCTCAGGGCTCCTATCTCTCTCCTCCTTTCCCTCTCCGACTCTCATACACACAGGGAAAAGAGGTGCTGTCCCTTTAATTTCCCTGCCTGCGTATCTGGAGGAGTTAAGGCGAAGCAATTAAAACAAAGGCATATTTAACATGGGGTTAATGATTGGCTGACCCTGCAGTCAGCACAGTGACAATATCTTAATTATTGAGAAACCTAAAGTCATTACGCCTACGAATGGCCTGAGGAGCGTCTCTATTGATCGGGATCCAGTCCCATTACAGGCCCAGCCTGGACCAATGAAGCCCCCATTATATACAGTCTTTCACTCTCTCTCTTTCACTCTGGTCTCTGTCTTTCTTTCTCTCCTCCTCCCTCTCACCGTCCCTGTGTCTCACTGCAAGCTAGTGGATGTATTGAACAGTGAGACAAGAGCCAGACGAGGCTTGTGGGCTTTATTGCTTTCTAAAAAATTCATAACCGGGCCTGACATTTTTGCTGAGAAATTATTATTTTCCTCCCTCCCTCCATCAACTTTCCTTTGTGATCTTTCTCATTTTTTTGGTTTAAGTGACAGAAGTGTTAAAAATCACGCACCAACAGGATTGATCAGTTTTTCTGACCTATATGAGGTTTGACATATTTACTGTAATCCTTTGGCTTGTGTATTTTAACACTTATTGTATTTATTTTATTACCCCTGCCATTTAAAACAAGTGTTGTATTTCAGCAGTGCTGTTGTAAGATTTGCACACCATTCACTTCATTTAGATTATTTTGTGCTCTTTTCTCTCTTGAACCCCAGGTGTTGGCTTTAGAGGAATTTCCTCTTCTCACCTACATTTCTCTCACCATTTTTACCTGTTTGTGTTTCAGTCTGCAAATGACCAGAAACTGGTGAGAGCCAGTTGTAATATAAAGAATGTGAATTTAAATTGCATTTAAATGCATTCAAACTAAAGGTGATAAAGGCCCAATAAAAAATGTTTCTGCACTTTTCACACAGTGACTGTGGTAAACTCAGGTGGAACCATCACATTAACATAACATGTGGAATTTGTTAACATTTACTTTTCTCAACGAAGGAAATAGTAAATATGTAATCAATCTCCATATTTAATATAATTACATTAATATATCTATATAAATATAGAAACAACAAAAGTATGTCAAGGCATCAACTCTAAGCTATGACAAAGAGTTTCTACATTCATGTTTTAATTTAAAAAAAATCTTAAACAAACAGCAAGACATTTGAAAATGTTTTTTTTTTTTTTAAGATGATCATATTTAAACTGATTAACTCCTACTGTGGTAAATCAAGATGTTGAGCTGTATGTGCACTTATATTTCATCTGTTATCTGCTCATAATGTGAGGCTGAACACATCTCAAATTGAAATGAAACTTAGAACAGTGCATTACTAGTCTCAAACATTTCAGTCACCAATGCTTAATGTTTTATGACAGGACTTATAATGCATCAGTGAGCATTATGAGTTCTGGACATAGCACAATATGAGTGTCTTTATTGTGAGCTGTTTCATGGTAGTCATAGTAACCGTAAAGATTTGTTATCTGACGTTACCTTTTAGTGCCACTGATTTCCATGGTTCACCTGAACTCTTCCTCTGTGATTTATAGTGGTTAAATTGAACATCAGACTAATAACGGTGATTATTTCATAGTTATTACGATGAAATTACAAATGTGGCACTATGCATCACTATGCACCATTACATTAAATTGGTCGTATTAATTAACATGCTAGACTGCACAAAAGGCTTAGTTATATTTTACATTGATGTTTATTTCTTCTGCTTGAATTATTATTTTTTATATTTAATTAAGCTTTTTAAGTTATGTAAATGTAGATTGACAAGGAAAAAACTAATTATTAAATCATATTTCACTTTGAAAAACAAACAAACAATCAAATCAAATCCCTTAATATAAAAAATAAAGGCATGTGTAGTATAAACTTCATATGCATAGAAGCTCATGTTCACAAACATTTGCTGTGCTCTGCACCCATCTATCTGATAACCCTTTCATTTGACTGTGGGGCACAGCCCAGTTCAGTCTCTACTGGGAGGCCAGTGTGTAAGACTCTGTGTCGTGACGTGTGTTTTATGATAAATATAGAAGCCAGACAACTTCTCCACCATCACAATGCTTCCTCCTCTCGTGGCCCCAGAGTGGAGCAGCATAGGGAGAGCTGAGATGTAATTACCCAATCAATGTGTGCCATCCTTATTAAAACACTACTAACAGTGCTCCATTATTGAAATACCCCCCACTGGACTCTTCTTAATTCATTAAATAAATTAGCACCAGCGCCTTTAATAATTCATGGAGTGATGTCTACGTTTTTTTTCTCCCCCGCGGAGGGTAACTGTGACAAAAACCATGGAAGTGAAAGCGAGGACCGTATGATAATACAGAGCAGAGCGGCCGGTTCTGAGGAGAGGATGATTCTCACGAGTAAGAAAAAATAAAAACAGGTCTGTTGATTGTTGGAAACCACGTACAGATTGTCTCTGCATTTTAAAATCATTTTAGGTTAATTCATATGTGCTGTTCTTGTTCTGATTTATTTCTCTTTCAAGCATGGAAGTTTAGATTTAATTACTACACAGGTCAGATAAAGTTAGGATGAAGCTTCTAGCTCATCGGAAGCGATGTACATCCTCCAAAAGCACATCTTTATTTTCCCCACATCTTTATTTGTCATCCTGCTTGCTTCTTGTGTCCTTCTCATTTGTGTTGCATTAATTTGCTAATGAGAATATCCTTGAGCAAGGCAGAGAAGCTAAAAGACAAATAAAGCAAGGAGTCAGAAGAGGGCTCTTGCTGTGTCTCTACATATCTTTAATTGACACATCTGCATCCC